AATTATGATTAATTAATACTTATTTATAATTAATAATAATAAATAACAATTAATATAAATAAAAGTTATAATTAAAGAAACATAGCTTAAATTTAATTTTAAAAATCTAAACCTTTTTACAGTTCTTATAACACATCCAACTTCAGGTCAAAAGAGGAGCAAAGTGATAAAAAACCGTCATGCATGATGAAAAAAACAAAAACCAAACTTGAGGTCCCTCACAACTACCATTTACATGCATGTGACAAATTAAGATATATTTACGCAAATGAAATCGATATCTTTGGATAAATTACAGAAACTACCCATTGTTAGCTTTTTCCTATTTGCAAAGACACCACATAGATTTCGAATTCACATATAATCAAAACTCTTCTAGAGAGAGATCGTTTCAAATGCAACTCATCATATTTATACAACTAATGCAACCTAATAAATTGAGATTTTTATGGAAATGATGAGAGTTCATTTATTATGATTTGAATATTTATAGAATATGAATAGTGTTCATTAATTATGATCAATACTTTATATTAGGAAACAATCAAAACTTCTAYGAAATCACATATTCATCAAATTAAATGGACGGTTGAGATTGGGTTGTATTGGTTGTACAAATATAAATGGTTGTATAATAATCAAATTAATGAACCCTATTCATCTTCCATAAATAACCAAATAACCAAATTAAGTTTTGATTGTAAACCGTGTAAATGAAAACCGCCTCCATTTGTGTAAACCGTGTAAACCAATCTCATCCATCCATTTTCTTGATCAATAGTCAAGATTAGTTTACTTTATTTTAGAAAATTAAAAAAAAATATATTAAATTTTTTTATATCAGCAATAAGGGCAAAATGGTAAACAAAAATACATATTTTGTAACATCCTATTGAAGGACATTATTCTTTATTTTAGGAAATTAAAATTTTCTATTTGTTAGAAAATAATTTCGCTAATGCAACAGCTTTTTTATTCTTTATCTTGAAATTGTTTCAATGTCGTTCACACACCCATGTAAATATGCACCATATTCATTATGAAATTATTTCAAGACGCACCAGTTTCATCATGAATCCATTTCAGCATGTAATTATTTCATGACAAACCGCATACATTATGCACCCGTTTCATTTTGCATTTCACCTACTAAATGGATCAACTACACCATCACTGAAACGGGGTTCACCATCAAACCAGTTCACTACTCATTGTTCAATTACGCCATGAACTAGTTTCACATTCATGAAACTTGTTTCATGTACATAGATTAGTTTATTTCACTCCTGATTTGATGAATTCATTTCTTTAATCCTTACAATCTTAAAGATTCTGTAGCAGATTACAATCTTCAAGATTATGGAGCAGATTCATCATGTATCCGTTTCATCATGCAATTATTTCATGACGAACCAAATACATTATGCACCCGTTTCACTACTCTTGGTTAAATTACGCCATGAACCAGTTTCACCTTCATGAAACCTATTTCATGTACATTAATTTTCATATTTCACCCGTGATTTGATGAATTTATTCCTTTAAGCCTTACAATCTTCAAGATTGTGGAGCAGATTACAATCTTCAAGATTCTGTAACAGATTCATCATGTACCCGTTTCATCATGCATTTATTTCATGACGAACTAAATACATTATGCACCCATTTCATTTTCCATTTCACCTACTAAATGAATCAACTACACCATCAAAGAAACGGGTTCACTATGAAAATGTTTCAGTACTCATTGTTCAATTATGACATGAACCAGTTTCACTTTCATGAAACATGTTTCATTTGTATTAATTTCTTTTTTCAATCATGATTTGATGAATTCATTACATTATGCCTTACAATCTTTAAGATTCACCAGCAGATTCAATCGCATCACAATATATTTAGTTCAAAATTTTAAAATTATAATATAATTAAATATTTAAATGTTACCATTTATAAAATTTTCTTTATTACGTTTCCTTAATTAAGATTTATTAATAATTTCCATATTTAATTGAAAATATTGTAAATGACCGAAATACCCTTATTGATTAAATTTAATTAGAAAAAAATGGAATTTTTCTATTGGTCGAAATTAGTTTACACGGTTTCTTAGAAATGCACGGTTTTCATTTGAACGTGCCCATATATATATATATATATATATATATATATTAAGGGTACAAAGAGAGGATGATGTTAAAGTTGGGTTTCCATAATTTATTTTGGAATATTTTATTGTCATATTTAATTTGTCATTGTTTACGTACAATATAGAACCATGACCAAAAGAAAAATGAAATATAATTAAATGCTGACTCTTGAATCTTATCTTTATCTTATTCCAAAAAAAGACAAATCCTAATGAGCCAAAACAAGTAGAAACTCAATGTGCAAACGCACTATATCCATAAGTACCACAGTTATACTTCAGCTCACACAATGAATAGATTCATAGAAAACATGATCTCCTCAATGGATCTCTTCCCCTTGCAACAAAATTATGCTCTCTTATTGTGTGCTTTAGCTATAACTTTAGCCCTTTACTTCTTATCTTTGATACCCAAAACTGGTAAACACAAGGTTGTACCTGAAGCAAGTGGTGCATGGCCTATAGTAGGTCACTTGAACCTCTTTAGAGAATCATCGGATCTTCGACCCCACGTAGCATTGGCAGCCATGGCTGCCAAATATGGACCCATCTTTACTATCCGGCTTGGCATACGCAGAGTCATGGTAGTGCATAGCTGGCGTATTGCAAAGGAGATTTTCACCACACACGATGCAATTATTTCCTCTCGTCCAAAATATTTGGCAGCTAAGATTTTGGGATATAATTACGCAATGTTTGGAGTCACTCCTTATGGTCCTTATTGGAGTGAAATTCGTAGGATCATCTCCTTTGAACTATTATCTAGTCGTCGCCTTGAGCAACTTAAGCATGTTCGAATGTCTGAACTAGAGAACTCTATCAAAAGTATGAACAAGGTTTGGAAGGAGAAGAAAGATGGGCAAGGAAAAGTGTTAGTGGAAATGAAGAAATGGTTTGGGGAATTCAACATGAATGTGGTTCTTAGAATGGTTGCCGGAAAACGGTATAGTGGAGCTGCAGATGGCGAAGAAGAAAAAGAGATGAACAAGTCTCGTGAAGTGATGAGGGAATTTTTCCATTTCATGGGGACTTTTGTTGTGGGAGATACATTTCTGTTCCTAGGGTGGTTGGATTTGGGTGGTCATGAGAAGGCCATGAAAAGAATCGCACATGAAATTGATACTATGGCTGGGAAATGGTTAAATGAACACCGAAGAAAGAGAGATTCTAAAGAAGTTCTCGAGGAGAAAGACTTTATGGATGTGATGATTTCATCTTTGGAAGCTGAAGGTTTGGCTGGATATGATGCAGATACTATTATCAAGTCTACATGCATGGTGCGTTGTGATTCTTTAAATTCACCTTACCTATTTATCAAGAGTTTAGTAATTTCTCACTCACAAACATCTATAAATTTACCTTACATATAAATCTATTAATTATCTGTATGAACTAGAAATTCCTAATGAGTTTTGACTAGAGTTTTAGTAGAAAAAACTTTTCTATCAGTTGATTTCAAAACTCATAAGATTTCTAATCCATCAGGTACAATCAACCACTGGTCAGATTTTGTATATTAAATAGTTCTATATATCAATATTAATACCTTAGTTATTTCGTCATAACTTTTTGTTTACTTGTATGTTACTGATGATCAGGACACGTCATAAAGGTAAACACCTTGGTGTATGTATGTATATATTTATGTGTGTGTGTATATGTTCTAATTAGTTTATATCATTCAGGTTCTAATTGCTAGCAGTGCAGATACGACCACTGTGATGCTAACATGGGTTCTCTCTCTACTATTGAATAATCCCCATGCACTTCGAAAAGCACAAGAAGAAATAGACATGGTTGTTGGAACTGATAGAAAAGTAAATGAAACAAATATCACCAATCTAATCTACCTACAAGCTATAATAAAGGAAACCCTACGACTATACCCAGCAGGACGTCTTGGAGGCATGAGAGAATTTTCGAAGGATTGCACAGTAGCAGGGCACCATGTCCCAAAAGGCACATGGTTGATGGTCAATCTGTGGAAACTCCAACAGGATCCAGAAATATGGTCAAACCCATCAGAGTTTAGGCCGGAGAGGTTCCTAGTTGGGAATCATAAGCATGTTGATGTTAAGGGGACAAACTTTGAGTTGATCCCATTTGGTGCTGGGAGGAGGTGTTGTCCTGGGATAGCTTTGGCACTTCAGATTTTACATACGGTTATAGCTACTTTGCTACAAAATTTTGATTTCAGTACACCAGATGATACACCAGTGGACATGGTTGAAACAACTGGATTAACAAATGCCAAGGCATCTGCTCTTGAAGTTCTGATCTCCCCACGAAGATCATCTACTACCAATTGGTGAATAAGTAAGTACTTAGATTGAAGCGATTTCATGAGCCAGCTTGTATAATAGAAAATAATCGAAGAGAGATGTGCTCAAATCTAGTGCTCAAAGCTTTGGTGTAATATTAATTAGACCATCCATATTATAATTTTTCTTATGGAATATGATTAAAAAAAGTTTTTGGACTCTTATGTCCAAAGTTTACAAGGATTGATTAGTGTTTGTAACATCCCCCGTCCCCGTGGTCCGGAACGGGCGGTGTCACTAATGAGACTAAGTTCAAGGACACAAACATTTAAGAGCTACTAATAAACTCCAAACGTAGATTAACTTCTAAAATATGCTTTACAATCCAAAATATTACATTCGAACAACTATTTATAAGCTTAAAATGTTATACATCTACAAACGAGTTTACAAACTCCAAAAGTCAAACGCTCGATCTCAAGTCCCGTCCCTTATCAGTATCACTTGGAACTTGTCGTGCTAGAAAACAAGAACACGGCTGAGCACGGGGCTCAGTGAACAGATTGTAATATAAACTTGAAATAATAATACGTAACATCGATAATAAAGCGGAAGACTTAAAAATCAATTAAACTGAATTCATAGAAATCAAGACGTTTCACAATTCTCATTTCAAAACATCATTTAAACACAATCCGTCAATTCTTGTAGTGTTCGTGGGGTGGCCAAACCACACGAACTATCGAGTCGGCGTGCGGGCACACACCCCGAGTCCCCCGTGAATTTAACCACGGTCACATGGTGGGTAATCCTAGGATAGCCAATAAAATCGGCCTAGTCCACAAGGTGGGTTCACGTAAGCCACTATTGGGCCTAACCCTGTGGACCGAGTTCACCTGCAGGAGGCCATGACTACAAAGCCGCCATAGAAGGCATCCCAAATAATGCGCCCATTAATTGGGTTGTTCTAAAAACCAATAAAACTAAACATGTGTCACTACCCGAATGACGTTCATAAAAAGTCAACCTTCAAAATTCTTCATAAAACTCGAAACTACTTCAAAATATGAGAATCAACTTAACAAACTTGAAAGATTCAAACATACAATTCAACGGACTAAAATCAAGAGTTTACGATAAAGATTCAAGAATGTATATATATATATATATATATATATATATATACGTAATTTATTGACCACTTTTAAGCGATCAATCACAAAGTGGTGAATCACCGTTACGAAGGGTCAACTACAATAACTAGTTGCCCAAGAGTCAAAGAAAGTGAAATCCGTACCTTAAGCGGAATAGAGAAGTAAAGCACGATCAAACGAGATTCACGGTAAAGTTCGATTTGTTCGCGTGCCTAACGAATGCGCAAATCGGTTATTACTTAAATAACGTAAGATCATATCCTAATTATACTAATAAACTACTTAGGTCCTACATGTTTATAAACAACTTAAACTTCAAATACGACATCCGAAAATGTATTATGAAATCGACACAACACTTAGCTTTATATAATTCCGTTTCGACTTTTAATAACTTTTGACCCTCATTTTCGGGAGCATTTTTACCCCACTTAGAGATCAATACAGAAAATACTATCTAAATGAAAGTTATAGTATAATATGCGATGAAACTACGGGTTCTTAAATCACCTTATTTGGATTATCCATCTATTTTATACGAATATTACAAAACAACAGATCAATCCTAAATACATTGCAAACAGCCCCGAAAACACACTGTTTCGAGCCACTTAAACTCATAATTGGATTCTCGACTCTACATGAAAGTTGTAGTATACATTAAGGGCTTTCTAACTGAAAAAATATGAGCTTATTCCGACTTATGGTTTATAAGTTATACACTGTCAAAGTATGGACCTGCATAGTCGGTAAAATCCGATTCCGCAATTCCCGACTAACTTTTATAATCCAACTTTCATGATTCGCTACATTTACATGCTATAAACATACTTCAACATACTAAACCGTAAAACATGTTCAATGGTCGCTAACCTAAGCTTAATCGTGCAATTTTACTCTTTTCGACATTATATCGAACAATTGGCGTACCGTTAAACATATACACCAAATCTAACCATAATGAAACGATAATCTACCCTTTTAATTTCTACATCAATTTTATCAATCCTAGCATTCTAAACATGAAATATATCATACTTATAACAATATCCATCCGTAAACTTATACATAACA